CTCTCTCTCTCTCTCTCTCTCTCTCTCTCTCCCCTCGAGATTGGGCTATACCGATTCAAACTGATTTGATTCCATTGAATATGCGATATTCCAATTTAACCCCTCAGGCATGACTTTCTCGACGTTTCCATTTTAAGTGGTCGACTCATGCATCATATACGCTAAGGTCTTAATACGTATACCCAACCCTAACGTGATTGCACGACTGGCACGATCTTGAAAACGCTATTTACCGACGTATTATAGTCGCAGTCACACACCGTCGATATGTTTAAAGTTCGACGTTTTCGCGCTTGCAGAAATTACGTGTCAGTTTACGCGCGGCAATAAAAGTAAGTAACTACTTTCGAGTATTGAGCACGTAATAGCGTATAGTAGCAACGATATTACACATTATTAAAAATTCTGCAGGAATTTTCCTTTAAGCTTCCACCGACTAACAATCCATATTACGATATTGCGGATCAAACAAGAATTTGGCTGACAAGAAAATATCCAAATTCGCTGGTTCTGTCAGGTCACTTTCGCTCTTCGTAAATGATCCGTGATTTATGATCCCTCGGACGTGCCTGGTCGAAGATCCGCCATTACGGAAACAGCCTGTAGTTCTAGATTCGGCTCATTAGGCAGCTGATTACGTGGACGTGCCCAAATCGAAGTTCTATATACGTCAGGTCAATGGCGGCTCCGGCGTATTCCCCGTGAAACTTTATTCTTATCTAGCGGGAACCACTTGGCGATCGAATAACTAGATTTATCGCGCGAATCTAGTAACTTTTTACTTCACTGAATTTCCGATAACTCGCCGCTCCCGAGAGCCGGGAGATGAAAGATCAACAAGAAATTCGGGGGTAAACTCGAAATTTTCTACCGACCGCGTTGGAGTCCGGACGCGTTAGTTCCGACCTTAAGTAAAAAAAAAGGGTGCAGAACACTGAAGTGAGAAGGGAAAAAAAAGGAAGGACGAGATGGCTTTAGACCTCCGCAATATCTCCTTGCTCTTTCCTTCTCCCGAAAGGGAAGTTTCCACTTTTCTCCGTTTTATGGCGGATGGAATCTCCAGTGGTCGACGATAGAACTCGAATGTACGTATCTCGTGCCCCCTTAAATAACGCGGGTACTTGAAGTTTCGTTGGCACCGGTCACCCTAGCAGTGCGCCAATATTCGTCCCGACTAAATTCATGGTAGCGGGTACTAAGTGGACACTGGCTTGTCCCCGTGGCCATTCTCCTTTTTCTTATTCTCGGACATCCGTGGATATTTGAATAATCAATGCTCGAACTGACGCTGCATTTGTAACTTTCTAGTGGTTTATGTAAATCAGGGCGAACTGAGCGGAATGGATGGTTTCTTGGTTCCCCTCGCACAAATACTTTGTCCGTTTCCTATTTGGATTATTGTTGCATTATCCACGACGTTACAAAAATGAATTTGTATTTAAGTCATTTGTTCGTGTTAAGTTCGTGCCTGGATATATGTCTAGTATATTAGATTCTTAAAAAAAATTATGCAGGTAAAAATTGCAAGAGTAAAGTACGTAGTTT